GGGGCACAGCGTAGTTTGCCCGAACAGGAACCTGAACATAAATATTTCTCCCCAAAATTTGTTGGCGAGCGGGGGGGAGGTAACCAAAAACAATTTTCCGGACATCCCAAATACTTTTTCTACAAGCGTGTGAAAATTTAGCCGGACATATCAGTGAATTTTCCCCAACATCACGTAATTTTCGCAATATCAAAATTTTCCCGAAATTTTTATGTTTTGTCCGAATTTCGCATTGATTTTTGCCCGGCTGCTTCTCCCCCCCCCTGCCCATACGCCTATGTGGATAATGTCATCGTTTGCTTACAAGTTGTTATTTTCTTCCTTTTTTTTTTTCTAAAAACAAGTTGTTATTAGCTTGTTTCAAACTTGTTATGTACAACAAACTGGGACAAGCAGTGCAAACACAACTTGTTGACAGCTTGTGAGTTGTGAACAGATTTGCAACAACTTGTTTGCAGACTTGTTACAAGCTGTGCGTTTTTACGTGTGTATTCCTTGGTAGTTGGTAAATGTAATTGAACAGTTACAGTAAATATAATCCAGCTTATTCCAGATCAGTTTTTGGTACTGACCTGCACACAGGCATAATTTAATCAAAAATTTAAATTTCTCGCCCGCCAAACCCGCGAAATTTAATATTCCAAAAAAATAAACATTTATATATTGTGTTCAATATTTTCGTACAAAAATAATCGATTTAATGGCCGTATTTTAATCCGATCTTTTATCGGAGTTGATACGTTTAAAGAATACGTACTAATCTACCTAAAAACATGAATTTCTCGGACGAATTCAAGCAAAATAACTATCTAAGTCGATTCTCACCAAATGGTCTATACATTGTAAGTATTAATTTCATGTATTAAAATGGTATTCAATTGTTAAATGTATTATTTCGCTTTAATAGTACCCTGTGATTTGATATTGATTTACTGTAAATGTTGAAACAAGGATTTTTTTACATTTACTGCACTGGTATTAACAATACACACACCATCAAAAATATGATAATTTTTGTTGTCAAATACTGAACTACGTACATCCAATCGGAGTATACCATACCTTCAAACACTCATTAATAATTCATAAGCTAATTGGAAAATCATGTCAACTATAATATGTCATGTGCAGTGGCTTTAAACCTGATAAAACACTCCTAATTAGTATTCTTTATATAAAGAATACTAATAAGGCAGTATCTATTGTTGTCGTGTCCTCATTAGTATTTTTTATATAAAGAATACTAATAGGCAGTATATCTATTGAATTTGTAGTCGTGTTTGAAGCCGTTTAATAAACTCGCAGGTCGTGTTTTATTACATCTAAAGCCACTCGCGCTGCGCGCTCGTGTCTTTAAACATAATAAACCACTCCTGCTCGTTTATTAAACAGCTAGTACATAGAATATCGCAAATTAGTTGGGTACAGTACATTAATTGATGTGCCCTACTTTATTATTTTATTCTGTCTAACACCAGATGATTTTACTTGTCAAGGGACGAGTGCTGCCACTATTGATAGCAGAAGCTTGTCTTCTGAAAGGGTAATTACCCTGTTGAAATAAAGGTTTTATTAACATTACAGTACGTACATTACCCTCAATGGGTAAATTAACAACGATGCATTCCCACTTAAAGGGTAATAACAGGATGCATTGTCAGATAGTCTGATTAACCCATTGAGTGGCAGCACTCTCTGCTTGACGAGTCAAATCTTCTGGCATTAGACAAAGTAAAATAATGAAGTACTGGGCACATCAGTGCACATTGTCTCATAAAGGATTAATTTTGTTTCAATTTCCAGGCAAATTGTGTGCAGTACAGGCTGATAGTCAGAGACATAAAAAATCTACAAATTGTTCATCTGTTCACAAACATGGATGCTGTCCAATACATGGAGGTATACATATATGTATTAAGGTTATATGTTGATTTACAGAAGTGCTCATCTACGTTAGGATTTTTGCCATATTACCCCATGATTATCAGGGTGTCAGCCAGCTAGAAGCCCCGGGAAACAATCAGCAATTTAACGCATTAAGCCAGAGCTTCCCCATTGACGGGTAAAATCGTCTGGCGTTAGACAAGTAAAAAAAAAAGTAGGCCGCACTGGCAGCGCATTGGGGGTCAATGAGTTAATGAAATTGCAAAGTCTTGAGACATTCAAGCCCAAGTTAAAATAGAATTAACTTTAGTTATATGATAATCATGATATGATGTATTTGTGTAGTGGTCGCCAGATTCTGGTTATATTCTGTGTGGAATGTACAAAAGAGGTCTAATACAGGTATGGTCCCCTTGATAAATAAAATGCAATGTTCTGCTGCCAAACGTGCAGTTGCACTCAATAATAAAAATAACATGATAGAGTGCGTTTAGTGCTTATAGCAGCTATCAAAGTTAAGTGTTAAAGAGGTCCGGAATTAGGGCAATGTTTCATGGTGGGTTAACATTAGAGATATAAACTCGAACGGTGTGCACCAGCGTAAGTAGTGACAGAAACACCAGGATTGAGAGAGATTCAATTACTTGAATAATACAAGTAGAAATTCAATGTTTCAGTTGAAGGCCTTTGTCGGGCAGTCCTTTGCTCGAAATGCCAAAGTTTTACTTCACCAGTCTGGAAAGTTAACTTTTTGCACGCCGGACATCGATTCAGGCACATATGTAACTGTACGCCAATTTTGGAAATATAAATGTGCAAAAGTTCCAAATACACCTTTTTAGTATAAACTTATTTGGTCCATATTTGTTGAATTTGAACAATTACTAGGTAAGTCTATATGTAAACAAATGTATGCCATTATGTACGCCGAAATTTGTGTTTGTACACCGGACAAGTCCGGCATACACACTTTACATTCCAGTCTGGATTTTTCAGGTAGTTGAATTACTATCAATCTTGCAGTTTGTAACATAATTAGAGACTTCTCAATTACGGATAAAACCGTAAAATAATCTGGCATACTAAATATCTCAAAGTAAAGTGATCAATTAATTAATTATCAATAAATCATATTTCTTGCTGCACTGTTATCTATAAGTTTGGCCAGTAATATTTCTACCTGTGCAGCTATATAGGTTTTGTTACTAAATATTTTTTTGCTATGTTATTAAGGTGTGGTCGTTAAATGATCCTGACTGGAGGTGTAAGATAGATGAAGGCTTGGCAGGGCTTGAATCTGTCAGATGGAGTCCTGACTCCAGACATGTTCTTTCCACAGCAGAATTTCAGGTTATAATCCCCGCGCGAAGCGCTGATAACAGTTTCTGTTGAAAAATCTTTTTTTAACATAGCAATGCAATATAAAATATAAAATATAAAATAATGCAAAATTGTGGAGATTATATAGTTTCACCAAAACATTAGGTATACGCATTGCAATGTGGGCCAAATATTGGCAGTGACGTGACGTAAGGACTTCTAGAGTGAATTGTGGGTCGTCATTAAAGATATACATTCATTCCAGATCAGAATAACTCTGTGGTCCTTGATTGACAAGTCTGTTTCATACTTTGAACATCCTAAACATGCTAACCGAGGTATGTTTGTTAATATGTGCTCTATATATATTTTCTCCTTATTTCATTCATTTCCATACCCTGACATTTTCTACCTTACATACGTAAAAACCCGGGATTAGAATTCGCAAGGTACCAATTTCGCTCAGTCTTAATTTGATTTTGCGCACCCTAGATGTGATATTTTAGCGCAGTTTTGATTTTGCGCACCTTAAAACGGTACAAATCTAGATGTATTACTAAGCCTACGTTACTTCACGCTGTACTGGATAGCTTTTCGTAGCGACGTGAAAAGACTACCTATATGTACCCTTTTAGGAACACTATTTTTAGAGGAATTATTGCAACGGAGAGATGTTAATTGTTTCGCTCAGCTTCTGAAAATTGAACATTCCAAAATGATTTAATTTGTGAAACACAATATAATGATTGATCAATACTTTGATATTATGCATATTCCGCCATATTGTACTATAATTCCGGTGGCAGCTACATGCATATGTTATGAATCAATGTTATCTCTGGATCATGGACGGATTTCGAGGGGAGGTGTGGACCTCCCCTGAGAATTTTTGCACCTCCCCTGAAAAGTCGTGCACCTCCCCCCCCCCCTGGAAAATTAGGTTTACTGATAGTGATAGAAGTGAAAATTTTACATTTCTGGTTGCTTTGGGTCTACACTTCGTAAGAAAATGTTTCTGTAAAATTGAAACAGTGTTAGCCATTCATCTCTGTGCCAACTACCCTTTTAATGCAATGTTTCGAAAGAAACATTGTAGCAATTGTAATGAAGGGCAAAATTGGATGAGTCGCGTACAGTCATAATTAATTAATACACTGATACATATGTACACTACATGCATACGTCACGTCGTTGACTTTGGTCCGTTCTACAGTAAAGCCTGGTTCACATAAAATCGTTAAGCAGTCGCGGACAGTCGCAGACATGTGCCGAATTTTTATTTGAACACAAATGCAGATTCGCACAGACTGTCTGAGACCAGATCGGCGACGAATCGGGAAAGTTGAACTTGATTCAACTTTCCCGATCCGTCGCAGATCGTTCATATAAAAATTCTCTCCATGGGGTTCGTGAGCTAGACCGCTGCACCTCCCCTAAATTTTTTCCCACCTCCCCCACTACTTCCACCAAAATCGGCGGGTCTTGTTCCGGATTAATGTTATTAATGTTATCTCTGGATTAGGTTTGGATTTCTCTAAAGATGGCCGTTATATGGCCCTGGCAGAAAGACGAAACTGTAAAGATTTTATTAGTATATTTGTTTGCGAGGCGTGGAAAATGCTACAGGTTGACATTCATTTATATATAAAAGTTACATAAAACAATTTGACATTAGTTATTATTGACAGGTACGACATTGAATTGAGACCAGAAAAAAGTGTTGGCCAACTTGGGTTGTTATGACAAAGTATTGAAAAAAGTTAATAACGATTATTAAAAAGTGTGTCCTATACGGCAATAAAAATGAAGTTTGTTTTAATTGAAAGAAATTATACATGAAAACCCTTTACAACTTTTCCGTAACTTGATGGCATTCCGCATTCGAAAGATTTGGACCAAAAACAGTAGCAATCCGCTATTTTGGTATGCATGACGTCACAACTGGGGTATAAAGAGGTTTTTTATTCGGCCAACCACATTTTAATGAGTCTGAAACTCGATTTTTTAGGTTTTGAGACAAGCTTAACTTTATTAAATTATAAAGTATCATTATAACCCTTTAAAAGTATATGTGCTCTATGACAAAGTTTAATTGAAAATAAGTATAAAGTTTCATTCAATTAATGTTGCATAGCATTTTGAAGTCCAGACGCAAGATCTCAGTGACATTGCCTGGTCTCCTGATGGCAGAGCATTGTGTGTCTGGGACCACATGGTTTACGTGAGTGAAAATAAAATACTCGATACTCTACTCTAAACAGGTCTACTAAACTAAAGACCAACCCATCACCACAGAACGAAATCTAAACTACATTATGCCAACTTAATTTGTACTAGATAGCTCGTTCTGCACGATAGCTGTATAAACTTCGCTCTTTAACTTGCTTGCAGAATAAAGTATGTTTGTATTCAATGGATGGAAGGTGTATGTCCACCTATGACCCGCCATGTTTTGGTCTTGGTGTCAAGACGGTCACATGGTCACCGACCAGTCAATTTCTGGCGATTGGCAGTTATGATGAAAAAGTGAGCTTAACATCATTTATACTGGATAGATCTAATTTCTAAATTGTTTTTCCAAGAGGTCCTGTAAGGAGCATCGTCCTTGGTCTACAACAAGTCTTAATATGTATACCAAATAGCTCTATTAATTCTAAACTATGCTTCAGTCAGCAAGTCCAGTAAGGAACGTTTTTCATTGGTCAGTGTTGCAACAGGATGAAATTGAACTACATTAACTTTACATGTCTTTCAATTTTCAACTGTTCACTAAGAAATACAGTGTGGACAAGCCTTAAAATATCTTTTACAGGGCCGTCCGACAAAATGTCTGATGACAAAATGTCCGACAAAATGTCCGACAAAATGTCCGACATGTGTATGATAACTTCAGTTCAGTTTGGGTCGGAAATAAGTCTGAATGACGCTAATTAATACCAGCACAATATATTTATTCAGAACTAAATGTTGTGAAGATATTAAATAATTTGTGTCATTCATACTTATTTCCAAGCCAAGATTAACTTGCTAGTGCCAATAATAGCAGTACGACTTCAACAACTTAATTATAAGCCCGTTTTCCACTTCAACATTTCGCTCGCCGCTCCGGCGGTGACATTATTAAAAACAACATTTCCGGTTTATTTTTGTACAATACTCTGGTTCTCCATTATAACATACGAGCCTCTAGTCCTGGACTAGGGTACATTTTGATTTACGTGCGTGGAGAAACCGTCGGACAAAGCTACAGTTCGGTTGGATACCAATTCACTCGGGTCGGACAAACAATAAACCTCAGTTTCACGTAGGTCGGACAGAATGTCCGGTGGTTTCCTCTCTACATCGGACATGGGTCGGACAATGTCCGTGACCGATCGATACTTTAAGGCCTGAGTGTGGATATCATTCCTCGTTGGTCAATGTTCCATGTAACAGGACGAAACTTAAACTAAATTTCGGTATGCTTGATAGCTCTATCAATTATAAACTGTTCTTCCAAGTGGTTCGGTGAGAGACATCGCTCGTTGGCTGATGTTGGTCAATGGTCAGGTCAAACGAAAGTTACTTTATGTATACTGGCTACCCCTATCAGTACCAAACTGTTCTCCCTAGAAATCCAGTGACAGTCATCCATTGTTCATTCAGTGTTATACTTATCACTAATTTTCCCGCATCTTTCCAGTGTCGTGTGTTTAATCATCTCACATGGAAAACAGTCGCAAAACACATGCACCCACAGCTGGTAGAGAAGAGCGATGTGGTAAGTGTATAATCAGTATTTTCCCTCAATTTTTTTCCCTCAATTTATTTAGCAAAATTTCCTGTTGGTTCAGTGTTACTACAGGAGAAAACCCAAACTTAACAAGGACACTCCAGTGGTCCTGTAAGGATCATCTCTTATCGGTCCAGTGTGTAAAAAAGCGAGACCTTTAGAAATCAAGTTATATTGTTGGAATTTGAATGCATAGCTCTATTAGCTAAGGCTGGACCCACGCGCGGGTGCGTAAAACAGGATAGAAGCATGATTTTATGCATGACGATCGAAGATATTTAAAACTTTAATTTGGTTTCGTCCAACATATGAATTATGTGCTGATTATTAGTTCATTAAGCAGAAAGACGAAACTGTAAAGATTTTATTAGTATATTTGTTTGCGAGGCGTGGAAAATGCTACAGGTTGACATTCATTTATATATAAAAGTTGTATAAAACATTTCGACATTAGCTATTATTCACAGGTACGACATTGAATTGAGGCCAGAAAAAAGTGGTCCATCCTCGATTTCGTTCTGCGCAGGCCTACATTCCAATGGTCGGGACCTGACCATTGGAATGTTAGTCTGTATTCATTTACAAGCATAGCGAAGCACAAGAGTGTTAAAAATTCAGTATAACATATATCTAATCATATTTTACAACTGTAGCACTGAGTTCAAAATGTAAACAAAACGTTTGCTTACATTACGGACTTTACAGCATCTTTAAATTTTAATGGCAATATATAGCTTAATGTTTACCCTATAGCCAATGTTTTCAGTTATATTTGTATCATTCCCTGACATCACCGCGAATTCTACGCAATGTAAAGCAGAACTCCAACTTCAGCCACAGAGAAAGAGCACATATACTGTTCAGTTTATATATTAGCCATTGTTGTTTTTTTTGTAGATTGTTTATAAAGAAGTAGAGAAGAAGCCGTCATTTTTGAAAGGAGAAGCTTTGCCCACATATGGCAATTATACAGTCTCTACTAAATGTAAGCTGACTCAAAACATATATTGTTTTGTTTGGCAGTAATTTTTGGAAAAGGATGACCGGATAGAGCATTTTAAGCTATTTTAAATACTATCCAGCTCAATAATACTGTGGTCTTGTTTGTTTCTGCTAGATGAAGTAAAAGAGGCACCGGTTCAAATTCCGCTGGTCAAACCAGATCCTGAGAAGCCCAATCCGAAAATGGGCGTTGGTCACGTGTCATTCAGCAGCAATTGTCGCTTTATGGCCACGAAAAATGGTATGTTTTGCATTTTATATTGTCAACATATATTGCCACTACGATTAGCATTTCCATAGCGCAGATTTACATGTTGATATATGATCATGGATAATAAAATAAATGGATAGGAAACTAGCTGACGTGACCTAATGTTTTCAATGGGATGATGGCGTGGTTGGATGTTCAAACCTAGTTGCAAACCAAATTCTCAAAAACGGCATGTTTAGCAATAATACAGCTAAACATTTTAGTCAAAGAGCAAATAAATATAACTACGCCATTCTACGATGAAATCTCTAAGTATTTCCAGTCAATTTTAGCAAATATTTCAAGCACTAAACAGTGACACTAAACAGTGCCAATTGCGTAGCTAAAAATACAAAACAAAGACGAAAAACATTTACCTTGAATACTTTGTCGTAGCTTAGGCATGTTTTTAAAACAATTAGACCAGCTTATGCTTCAATATTACTCTTTTAAAGCGGAAATATAGCGAAACAACAAAAAAGCCGAGAACTTTGGCAATACGCGTGACGTCACAGATTGCAACTAGGTTTAGACTGTGACGTCAGCTAGAGTCCTATCCATTTATTTTATTATCCATGATATGATCAAATGCGGTTTTCACCAAGTATTACGTTTACCATACAGCGACAACATTACTACATATATCGGCGGCGAATTTGCTTAAATAACTAAAAAAAAAGTTAATAAACCAGTTTTTACAAATATGTGTGCATATAAATAAACTCAATTCCATGTCTGTTTAAAGAAAATTTGACCTAATTTTAACGCAAAAATTAATATTACTAACTTCTAGGCTGTTGCAAACAAATAAATTTCGCGAAGACAAGTTTTCCCGCACTTTTATAATTTTAAACAAAACTGGTAGGAAAAAATGTATTAATGTCCCAAATTCTTTTCATTATTCTGCCATATCGTTTGTCGTATGTTTGAAATTGACAAAACATCTGAAAAGGGTTGAAAAACCATGAAAAAAGCCACAATTCGCAACTGTCCAATAGGTTCCTGTCCAATATCGTAATATATTGAATCGGCACGTGACCCTCTCAACGATCACTGATTGGTTAAGTGCGCGTGAGTCAGGTATAATAATGTTCAATATCGGTTGACAACTGTGAACAATATGTGGGCAGCAAAACATTGTTCAATCCTGTTTTCATCAACTATTGCAACAACCTGATCGTTTTTAGCCGTGTTTAGACTATTTTATCTTTACAACAATTGTGATATTTATTTTCTTAACTGTGTTTATCCTAACCCACCCTGTCGGCTTTTCCTGTGGGAGGAAACTGGAGAACCCGGAGACAACCCACGACTTTCGGCAGAGCGTTGACCGACCTTTTCACATGAGTTCATAGCGAAAATCGAACCCACGTAGGCACGTGTATACTCGAAGTGAAAGGCGCTTCCTCTGATGACTATGGCGATATTATATATAGAATTTACGTGGGGGAAATGCTAATATGTTACCATGCAAGGGAGGTTTATATAACCGTGCTTGCCTAATAAGGCGGACCTCGAGAAGAACCATGTTATAACTTTATATTTGTTTCCTTATGCATATTGAAAACCTTCGTAAGTTTAGAGAGATTTTTGTGCATGTATGTATAGGCCAAATTTAAAAGTATGTTATTTTGATGACTTAGGCTAATTCCTTAATGTCAACATAATCGTTGGCTCGAAAAAGCGTCCCAGTAATTAGCGTAGGTGTTTGAAAACTGCTTGCTGAAGTGTTGTTTTATGATTCAAATTATTTCACTAATTTACTCCGACAAAGGCGACACTTGAAAATAAATTTGGCCATAAAAGTTTTACCGCCCGCGAACTAATTGCAAATTTGTTTCTAGCCTGCCGGGCAGGAAAAATAACCTCATCCTTTTTCGGTAAATTATTTAAATGTTGTAGTATGTATTTTGCTCTTTCTACCCGAGAAAAGCAGTAAATTACAATTAACTTCAGTTATTAATGTGTTTCATTCTGAGTTGCAAGCATGGGGGCTGGTTATATGGGACGAGCCAGTCCGGGTACCCGAGCTGGCTCGCCTAAGCGGGCCGAGTGTTATTGCTCTGTTCATGCGAATATATTTTTGTAAATACGATTTTCTCGACCAATTTCGATCTTAAAAGGTCTCTGTGAATTATTCTGTGGATTATAACCGTGAAAGTCGCTCGCCAAAGTGCGAATTTCAGATTCATGAGAAATCATATTTATATTATACTATTCATAGCGGTGAGCCCTGTGGTTTGTAAACACGGTGTAAAATTGGTCCCGGCAAAGCGAGCTAGCTTGAGTACCTAATTCCCGTGGCAAAGAAGAGTTCCCAAGAGTGCGCAGTATGAAATGAAATTTGTTTCTCGTGTCTTTTTGCTCAATACTTTGGTTGAAAATGTCGAGTTAACAGCTGCAACAAACATCTTGAGGCTTTTGTTGCCTTGTTTTCATTAATACCGAAGCAATTTCTATTTGTTTAAAGTCATTTAAAGGCGTCCCTAAGAAGTGTGCCCACTTTAAAGCACATTATTGCCGTTTAATGAAAACAGCCACAGGTGGTAACACGAAAGAGGACTAGCACTAGTTGCCAATGGGAAAACATTTCTGTTTAAAATTACTCTATATATCGTAAAATTATTTAATCTTCATCACAAATTTGCTATGTTTTATTTCACTTGACGTATTTACAAAGTTTCAAGTAGTTTTACAAAGAGAACAGCGAGAAATAAGTGATTAAATATGACAAAATGAATTTCTGCATAAATGCTAGTTCCAGACCCCTAATTGCTCGTCGTCTGGTTGACGCGAGCATATAAAAAGTGTCCTACGAGTCATAACAACCATTCAAAAGCAAACCTCGCATTCAGAAACTCAAAGTTAATACATTTTGATCAAAATGGCTATGAAGGAAATCTTTGCGATAGTTTTGGGACTTTGGCTAGTATTCCGATGCGCTCAAGCAGCACCGAGCTATACAAGAGATGTGGAAGATTTTGAAAGTACGATGACCTTTGACCTGGCGAAACGTGTACTGCACGGAGAGAGAGCTTTGCGAAACCTTTTGAAGGAAATTGAAGACGTAAAACGAGCCAGCCCTTGTAAAGCGAATGAATATTATGATGGCATGACCTGCAAATTAAGATCGAAACGTGTGCTGCATGGAGAGAGAGCTTTGCGAAACCTTTTGAAGGAAATTGAAGACGTAAAACGAAGCTCCGTTTGTAGTCAGAATGAAGTGTATAAGAACATGCGCTGCCAACCAATTGGACGAAAATGATTTGTATGAACTGTATTACGCATCGATGCCTTCTTATGATGATTTAACATTTTCTTTTGCCTGTGAACTATGTAGAGTATATACAACTTAGTAAAGAAACACTCGAAACTAGTAGAATTAAATTTATTTGACTCTAATGTGTAAAAACCGTAGTTTTAGTATGCGAAATGTACTTTGCATTTAATTGTTTCAATAAATTTAAATATTAAAGAACTGAATAATTTGTGTATTCTTTTCGCTTTGCGCTTGTGTAAACTTTACTAATATAACATATATACGGATAGCCGGTTTTTATCCAGCTAGGCTATGCGGTGGAGCGGTGGAGATGAGTGGCCTGGGGACGAGAATGGCTCATCAAATGAAACACCATGCATGTGTGCGCAAAATTAGGCTTCTGTTAAAATTAACTTATGAAGAGAACACAAAAGAGACTTGTAATGCCATCCATGCGATCATATAGCGCGCAAAATATGCTAATCAACTTTATATTCAACTTTATTTTTATAAACCATTTAGGAAACAGATTCGCCTAGAATTAAACCCCAACGTCGCAAATATTAACTTTAAATTTCATTTTGCCAGCTAACACTTGTACATGCTTTATTCCGATCTAGAAAGCATTTAAAAATTCCAAACAAAGCATGGAATCAACAAAATTAAGACTTCTGAACCGTTTCCGTAAACACATATCGCGTTCAAGCCTGGCATAGCCTAGCAAAGCGAGCCAGTCCGTACAATGTAAACATAAATTAGCAAATTTGTGCGGGCGTAAGCCAAGTAACTATAATAAATTGGAAATACTGCATGAAACTTCGTAACTAGGCTATATACTTAGTTTTGATGAGTCATTGCCTCAATTTTTAATTTAGTTAACGTGTTTGAGTTGTTATACCATATTGGGAGAGCAGTATTTTACTGATTGTGACTCCTGACCGATCCTGTATAAATAAAGCTTCTATTCTATAAACTTGGCTTCTTCGAAGTATTTTTACGTAATTAAACAAACTGCTCATTAATCATCAATAATATATTTAGGCCTATATATATATATATATATATATACAGTGTGTATTAAAATAATTCGAATCCAAATTTGACAGACTGCTGTTTATAAAATACTAAAGTAAACCATATAATTTTTATATGGCAATAAAGAATAGCCCATTAGGTTTCCGATTATATCGTTCTTTATATCAATAAGATCAAAAATGACCAAGAAATCGTGTGTTAAAACTGGTTGCTCGAAATCAAATTTTTCCGCCGATGGGAATTCGAAGTGAGACGTACAAACAAAAGATAATGCAAATTTAATTAATCAACAAACTGTTATGTGGCAAAATTTACATAAATTCGTGTTCATTTAAAGAGATTTAAGTTCCTATGCCTTCAACATGTTGAACGAGAAGAAATTCGCGTTAAATTTGCATTTTAGTTTTCAGTGATGATTAGCATTTCAAAGCCTTGTGGGACTAACTTTGAAAGAAAAAATGTCCAATTCCCATCGGCGGAAAATTGTGATTTTTATGGACTTTTTTTGTCAAAGCAATACTCCTTCATTTTCCAACTAAATGACGCGTACAGCATGTCATTTGAAAGGTAAATAAATGAACTTAACAATGGTGTAAAAACCAAACGAATTTGTCAAATATATTCTGCGTTATTACACGCCAAATTTGGATTCGAATTATTTTGATACACACTGTAGAGGTCAAAATTGGCAAAAAGTCCATCTCGATCGGTCAGGTGGGATAACGTTTTCATATGGAAACTTTTATCCCACTTGACTGCCAATAAAGCTTGCGTGATGTCTGCTATAAACAATGTTTTTAAGGCAAAATAAAACTAAAGAAATGCGTCTTTAGTCGCTTAATAAGTTTAAACTATTTAGTTATCAGTTAAGAAAGTTTTTAAACAATCCAAATAATTTAAAAATTGGGCAATTAAGCCAACGCGAAAATACTATTGTGATTTGTGTGCTGAAAATACTTTTGTGTGGCTTTCTATATACACGTTGTAAATATTTCATGTCTTATTAGTTCTTTAACGTAGCTGGTAGATTCCTTGAAATCTTGAAAATAGTTTTTATTGCCATATATAGACATAGTAGCTTGTACTGCGTTGAAATCAGCATTTGTTGACGTCTTATAAAATTTAAACTTTTGTAATTCGCTACAGCTACTTCGGAAAACTGTAGCCCGCTACGGCTGATACTGCTACCTCACGACAGGAAATGTATATACTACCATATTTAAAAAATGTAGCGAACTGTTCGCTACTTTGCTATACAACAAAATGTCCTGCTATTCACATTTGTAATTTACATTGATGAGTAGAATGATATCATATGAGATATATTCTTCTAATTTGTAATTTCAAGGGCAAGAAAGCTGGTAAATACGCGGCAACTAACCGTATATTTAGGCATTGTAAGAAACTATAGAAAGCCTTATCAAACTCTGAGGTTCCTGGCGAAGACAAAAATTTGCATATATGGAAATTGCTAAAGAAATTGATCCCTTTTGAAAAGAAACTAATAGAGATTGTTTCTTGAAAACAGTAGTCAACCTCTTCGCCACTGAAAGACATGTGGTTCGTTACAGCTACAATTACTGTTTTAAAATAGTATCCCAAAACTACTCGCTTTCTTTCTAAAATTTTATCTATTTCATATAGAGAGATGTCGGCTGTTCATGAATATAGCCTGCTATGTATATATATATATATATATAGGACATAAATAATTTACAGTGTTTATACGAACAAAAATGAATAAATGCTTTTATGAAGTTTGAACATAAGGCCTTTCATTATTTATTTATTATGTTTACTGCCCAGCATGTCGCTGCATGATGCGGCAAAAAAGTATTCATTTCGTTGTCGCTGTTGAAAAAAGACAGCGGTGAAAGACAAAGCGATTAACACCCATGCAACTATTGACTATTTCTAAATGACTTTCAATTTTGTTGGCCTTCCGAACTGTACTACTGTCCGATAATAATAACGAGTGATTTTAGTCCCACTAACCCAAAAATGAAGATGGCTATAGCTTCAGGATATATGAACCCTGCTGCTTTAAAGAGGATCCTAAAAAATTAAATTTGATTTACTTGTTTGAACAAATTCCAACAAAACAAATTCCTTAGAACCAATTCCTTCTGAGCAATTTATAGACAACACTGCAATATAATATAATATAATATAATATAATATAATATAATATATATTTCTTAATTTACCTGATGAGCGTTGTCATATACGAAACAAATTTGTGGTGAAATAAAGTAACTCAAGTTTGGCTTCTACTCTAATCTTATGTATATAGGCTATGCGCGAGTGTTTTTTGGTTCATGAAATGCTAAAGAGTGCTCGATATATCATATAGATATAGAGCAGATCTAGTGTAGTTTTTACCTCGAAAGTAGTGGCAATACTTATATGGATAGATATTTATGAATGAAAAGGATAGCTTAACAGAATCATTCTGATAAACTGAACCAATTTCTTCATTATCACAAAGAGTAACAAGTTTAACAATTGCATACTCGCATAAATGTGCGCGATATATCCATATAGATAGTTATATCGATAGTTAATTAGCAATTCAACTGATTAACCTTTCATGCGTAAATAATGCTAATTTATCCAACGCAAATTTGATAAATGTGCAACTAGAATTTGCTATTCACAGCTGGCATTCACTGTTAACTTTGATGCGTTGGCCTGCCAAATTGACCTTAAATTACTCAAGAGCCAATGTTGTGGGTGTTTATACTCCCCCCCTCCTGTTTCTAAAGTAAATAAATAATGACAACTCTTTATGAAATTCATCAATTCTGTCCAATGCAAACTTAGTAATATCAAGTTTAAAATAGTTCACTCCTAGAAGTTAAAAGCTACTTCGCTCAAACATAGTCCAAGGTCACCTTTTGGGGTTTATTTTACGAGTTTATAATTAGCGGTTTTAACACACTTTTCGCAAAGTTACTACTTCGTTATGCAAAATCGGTAAAAGAGATTAACATATATTTTAAACGTTCTTCCAAATGAAATAATAAAAAATATATTGCCATATCCTTTTAATGTTTAGGTATTTATTAGCTTTATACAATCTTTTATACATGAACAAACACTAGATATTAAATTTAGGAATATACATATATATATATATACATATATACATATATATATACATATATACATATATATATACATATATATATACATATATACATATATACATACATATACACATACACATACACACACACACACATATACACATACACATACACATACATATATACACATACATATATACACATACATATATACACATACATATATACACATACATATATACACATACATATATACACATACACACACACACACACACACACACACACACACACACACACACATATATATATATATATATATATATATATATATATATATATATATATATATATATATATATATATATATATATATATATCCTCCACATGATTGTGCATTTTTATAACTATCCCATGCTTTTTCATCCGAAATAATCATTGTTTTATCTTCAAACTCTGAGTTTATCCGCCATATAGCGATTTAAACCGTCTCAAGAGACTGTGCAAGTTTACACGGTTGATAGGCAAAATTTAACCTGTGGATAGCCCTAAACAGGCTTGATACAACATGATTTCTTGAGTGTTTAAATTTTATCCAGCAGATAGAGTTAAATGGTGGTTAGCGAGTTAAACGCCTTTGATACAACTGGCCCCTGTTTCAAATGCAAATATCACCGGTGTGACATCACATCGCATAAGGAGTTTCAGGAAAGTATGGTTTTCTTGACGAATATGCATCTAAAAAACTTAAATATTGCTTTGATTATGTATTAATTTCATAACTGGTAATTAACCCTCTGTATTTGTTTGTAAAAATATTTTATCAAGGTGAAATATTGCGTTTTCAAAATGTCATTATGCAGCGATGTGATGTCACACCAGTGACATTTGCATATGAAACAAAGTTGAATATCTTGCAAAGGAAGCAAGTTACCAGAATTCTATAAAAGAAATTATTAAGTCATTTTAAGTGATCTTTACAATGCAATCATAAACATATGGGGTGAAATTTCGTGTTATAGGCACTTCAAATATTGTAGCAACTTGTGACACACAAGTTACATGTAAATGAATATGTTAACTGAAAATGAGCTGTTGCAGAGTTGCTAGGTAACAGGGCTGTAAAATAGTGTAAATGCAGAAAATGAAAATAATGAATAAGACCAGAAAAATTACAATGACTTTTTAAAGTTCAAGATTGGTCACTTTGAAAGATTGGACAGATTGAAACTTGGATAATCATTTTTCTATTTTGTGGAAAGTGTTAGTCCTGCTACACAGGATTGCTAGCTATGCTAATAAAGGCATTACTAGGGGGCACTACCAGGGGATCCATGCTCCCCAGAAAATTAGCTGTTCCAGATTGACTAAAAATGCATTTGCCATACAATATTTGTTACATTATTCTACAGTCTATACATTTACACACTATTGCACTATTACAATGGATGCACTCATAATTGCATTTCTCAGGTTATACCTACAGTACAGGTAACATTCTTTCTATTGATTAGATTTTTTCTTCTGAATTTCTCTTTTTACCTATTAAATTTTTACAATTATCTTTTTTTTCTTTCTTGGGGAATATTTTCTTGGAACTCAAAACATGTTCTGATTTCGTGGTCTGATGTGGACGGTCTAACTAGTTTTCCTTGAGTAAATTTGTTAGCTTGTTCCAACTGTACCGACATAGCTAAGCTCATCGTCCCAATTAAATTTTGTCAGCCAAAGGATTCTTTAACAGGGTCTAGACAATTGAGAATACAACGGCATTGTCATGAACACATATAAATGGAAAATCAATTGTTTGCAGTACCTAAATCATTGTTGAACATATGTAATCTTAAGAAAACGAAAAATTGAGTGCAAGCTTGAGTGGCATTAAAAGCGTATTTATGTGCATGCTTCTTTTATGACGTGTCGGAAACCCACTTAAACAATAAAGTTCCAGACTCTGTTGTTGCAATTGCATCATATAACATATATCAAGTGTCTGGTGCACTCATAGATAATTTTTATAGTGATCATTGTCCATTGAAAGAGAAAAACTATTTCATGTAGACAAGGATTTTACTCATCAATGATCAAAGACAATGCATGGTACTGAAAGATCATCCCAAAAAATGAGTATCAAGCCATTTGCAAACGAATTCAGTATCTTTTCCAGTGAAATCTGCCATGTCATAGTCCACTAATCACCATGATGGAAAACGTCTAAGTTCCCATTCCCGGGCTGAAAATTTTTGGCAATAGCCCCACCCTTGGGATTAGGAAAGCTGGGAAGGCCCGGGGGTGATGGACACTACTGCAATTGATTGATACATAAAACATTCATAATCCTCTCTTGCTTCCATAGTCATTCGGCTAGGTCATGTTTGGTCCAATCTGCTGGGTCTAGCCAATTGTGGAAAAATTTGCACTCGAGTTTTGGTCGGTAAGTTGTGCTTGAGTTTTGGTCAGTCTATGCCAGTAAGCTGTGGTGCTTCCATGATTTCTTTCATTCTCTGGATCACACATTGGCCAATTATAATGCTGTGTTCAATTGCAAACCTGAGCATTTCATGATGCCAGAATATTTGTTTGGTATAAATGAAAGGAGTGGTTGTTCACACAATGTGAAGAAAAAAAGAAGATTGGCTTACATAGTTATAGGTAAAGATCACTACATTTGGCAATGGGGTGGTTCATTCCATAAAATTTATTTGCACTTAAAATCAATGAAGGAATTATTTCCCTGCATTCTTAGTACCACCTTAGCAGTCACTGCAATGCCTGATATGCTAGAAGAAATAAAAGTGGACTTGTTAAGGTCACATTTCATGGTCAGAGGCAGTGTTAACTCATTGCCATCCAGCAAGAATAATGAAGTTCAAACATAAATATCATCCACTGGTCCTTATGCAATAAAATCCATGGGAAAATTAAACTGTAAACTATAATACAATGTTAAAAGGGGAGAAATTACAAGTTAGCAGCACAAACAATTATTATATACATTTAAGCAAATGTGTTAGAAATTTAGAGACTATTACTTACAATAAATGTGCAAATTTATGCATATTTTCAGAACATATGATTTTTAATCTATTTTAAAATAGCCAATAATGATAGACCAGAGTCTGTAAATTATGAATCGCGAGACTTACTGTAATTTTACTTGCCTGTTTACTTGCACGGTAGTTTTACTGCTGTTCTTTACAAAAACAAAATGTTTCCGATAATCACCTTGTAACACTGAAAGTTTACCGTGAGAATTGATGGCAAAATATGGTGGAGGATTTCCAGACATAAACAAATAAATTAGTGAGCAGAAGTGGTCAAGGTTAATAATGAGGTCAAGCAATTAATATATAAACAGATGAATAAATTGATGCAGAAAGATCAATAAATGGTTTAATTTGTATTTGAAAACTAGAAAACAGTTTGTTTCTGTCGGTATTAAAGTCAAATCTAATCTTAATAAAGTTGTATGTGATGTACCACAAAGCTCAGTATTGGGTCCTTTACTTTTCTTATGGACCGTTCATTATTTATTTTCTAGGGTGGGGTGGGAGATTTTATGTCATATACAAAAATCTTGTAGCCCTCCCTTCTTTTGATTATCTCAATGTTGAAATCCCCCCATAATATACTGAAAAAATTTATAACCCTCCCATTGTATAAATGTTGTAATACTGTAAAGAATACAGTACACATTGCTAAGTCAAGAGCCAGAATTATGGTTTCCCTTGCATATTTTTTATTTAAAATTATATTATCTCTATTAGAACAATAACTTCCTATAATACGTTTTTGCAATTTCTTATATAACATGTTCTTAATAATGTATTTACATTCGAGGTATTTATCAGGGTGTGTTAAAATTAACTATGTAAAGTATAACAAACTATTAAAGTGCTTATGTCGGTTTTGAATAGAGAACAGAAAGTTAGTTAACAACTTCTTTTGCAGGTTTTTGGTTTTCTCTTTTTATTTGCGAGATATAGGCATTCAAAGGGGTTTTCTTAGGAAAAAAGTTGCAAATCACGAAAAGTCTGGGACAAGCTTGCTGTGACGTAGCTTAAGGAATAAAATTACGACACGCTTTATGTATTTACTATATTTTCAATATGTCGAGCAGTAGTTCCGATTCGGAAAGCATCCATAGCTTTCAATGCGACTCAGAATATAACTATATTCCTGAGTATATTCCTATATTCCTGGGTATATAATAGAAGATGAGTTAAATGATACTCATAATGAATTTGGTACACTAGAAGCAGCGGATAAAACTAGTTCAGGAGACTATGGTGCTTGTGTTTATGCCGATGAGCCTTTAGTGGGGGAAGAATGGTTTTCACAATATCTCGAAAAATCTGCTGAACAAAAGAGACAAACCGAAATGTTACAAAAAAAGATTAGATGGCCTTGAAGATGTTAAATCATGGTAAATACCTCCATTCTTTATATTTTACAATTTTAACATCAAAATATATGATGAAATTGAAATTATATTTCACAGTATCACATTGACATTGCACATGTCATAACAAATGTTCTCACTCGTATCTTATTTCAAAGGTGCACATGCATCAATGTGTGGTAACACATTTACAAAATCCGCACAAAGCTTGGTGCTGTCAGGAGATGGAATCTTGTGTAAACGTTTTGAAAAAGGGGACTTAGTTATGCAAGACGTTCCTGTACCACCTTGCTTCATCACACTACACCCAGGATTTAGGCCTATTTGTTTGGAGAAATGGTCACTACGAAACTGCACAAGAAAATACAAAACATGCGACCAAAAAAGATATTTACAGCTAGTTCAGAGCAAATGTAAGTGTTGATCCAAAATTGTAGCCCTTACGAAAATTTCCTATAGGAATTCCTATAAGAATTCCGTTAGGAATTCTTATAGGAATTCCTATAGGAAATTCTATGGGATTTTCGGACTTTTCCTATAGGAATTCCTAAAGGAATTCCTAAAGGAATTACTATTAATTTCTATAGGAATTCCTAAAGGAATTACTAAATTCCTGTAGAGATTCCTATAGGAATTCCTTTAAATTCCTAACAATTCCTATAGGAATTCCTATAGAGATTCCCATAGGAATTCCTTTTTAATTCCTGCAAAAATTCCTATGCTATCTATGAAATCTTGTAAGTGACAATATTATTGACTGGTAATAAATATATTTCCTTAAATATTTTATAACAGTAGTAGTAGTAATTGTAATAATTCATAATTGATCCAACAAAGTTAATTAACTATATAATTAATTAAATAGTAAAACCAAATTATTAACTAAATATTAAAATTTAAAAGATACAAATTAGAATATAGTAAATACACAAAGCTGAGCACTATCTACAGGCCTCTGTACAAATATTACATACCTCCAATTGAAATTGAGTACTATACACTGAGCAATAATTATGAGTTTGTTTCATGATTTAGATTTTATTACTGAATCTTTATGTTTATGTTGCTCCACCAGGCATAGAATATAAAGCTTCAGTACTAAATATTAAAGTTGATACAAACATGTAATTATTGCACAGTGCAGAATGACTGGGCTTAATATGTGTGTTCATGATGCTCTCTGTCATTAATGTACATGCATCGTTTAAAAATAAAAACTTCCTTCAATACTTATAAGTTTGAAGCATTCTACAGTTTTTGAAGTTTGCAGCACTTTACAACATTGCTCATCTTTGTTGACATATGTTGTCTGATTGACTTCTCCATGCAATCAAACTTTTGTGATGCATAACCTGAAAACAGTGAAAGACAACATGTTAGACAAATACCAGTTAACATACTTCATTGCGAGGCTATAATCAATATAGGAAATAACATGGTTCAAGAAGAATTAATTTTATAATTGCGAGGCAATATACAGTCGTGCAAATAGAAGCGTTCCGAAAAATGTTGATCAATTCACTTCCTAACTTCGAGGAGTTCCTCTCAACAATTCCTCAACAATTTGATAAGTTCGTTAAAAAGTTCCTAACTTCCTGTTTCATTGACCAATCAGATTTTATATTTTATTTTTGAGCAATCTGATTGGTCAATGAAACAGGAAGTTAGGAACTTTTTAACGAACTTATCAAATTGTTGAGGAATTTTTCAGAGGAACTCCTCGAAGTTAGGAAATGAATTGATCAACATTTTTCGGAACGCTTCTATTGGCACGACTGTAAGAATCCAAACACAATTTAATTTGGTCTAATTGAACTAGACTTTAACTTTCAAGTATTTTCAATGTTCACTTTCTAAGTGAGCATAGTAACATAGAGTTATTTTCAATTACTTACTACATATACTTTCAATTTTTGCAACATCCAGTTGTGGCTTTGCATCTCTTTCTTTGTGAGCATTTGATTGGCGACCAGTAACCGAATGAGTACGTAATATTTCTCTTGACCAGAGCATTGGCATCAATGCATATACGAAGTCCTTCGCTGTATGCTTTTCCTGTAAAATTTTCTTCTGGTTTCTTGAGATTTGAACACCAGGGCATAGCATTACAACCTTAAAAAAATCAAGAATACAGTTCTGAATTATAACTATTACAGTATATAAAAAATAAGTAAAAAATCTCAATGGCAGCCATACTGTAGCTTAAACTCCCTCAGTTAGCAAGGCTACAGTATCTGTCACTACTGTATGTTGCAGGCCTCATTAACATTTTTTTGTGCCTGCGAGCGAAATTCAAAATGTGCCTGCAAAGACACATCTTATTTAGATTTTGTGACCTAAATATTGTTAAAATGTCAGCAAGGTGCCTGTGAGCAGTGCTCGCACATTCCAATGATGCCTGGTATGCCCTTTTAAAGTTTTTTTCACTCATTGACATTGCCTGCCAATATCATAGTACAAGTACAACATCTTGAGACTCAATATTTAAGTAAAAACAAGACAAGAATTTGATACTTCAAATTCATTTCCAACTGAAATAAATTCTAAATATCATTGTATCAATGTTTTGTCTTGTTGTACTCAAATATTGAGTCTCAAGATCTCAGTCTCTTGATGGGAATTTGCATTACAATGTATTTCCTAAACTTATCAGTCACACTCTTCAATGACATTCTAGTTGACTGCAGAAATCCATACCTCGAGTAATGGATTACATATAACTCACCTTTTCTGGGTCACTGACAGAGCTTGAATTTGATGCTGTTGATGTGTCAGAGTTGACTATGTTGTCAATGGGTGACAAAGGACATCTCTCTGATTTCTTGCCCTCAAAGCTTTTGTTTTTTGGTGTAGACACTAGTTTTGTGCTTCCATCACATCGGGCCAACTTATTTAGATGTCGAACAGAATCCTTTAATTCCAGGACAACATCTTGCAAGTTTTGCACATCTGTATGAGAGAGGAAGCAATTAGGATGATGCAGATCTTAATTTATCTCAATGTCATGGCCATGTTCACTAACATTATACCTCTCAAATCTCTAATTTCCTTTTTTAATGCTTTGATTTCATTGTCTTTTTCCAGAAGCTGTCTCTTCATTTTTCTGACATCTTCAGAATCTTCTTCAGACTCCTCATCAGAGCTTCCAGAAAAGTAAACCTTAATAAAAACAAATTTTGAATGTTTAATAAGAACAATAATTAGTCTTGGTCACACTTTTGGTAGTATATGTTTGTCCCTGATTATTGAAAGTCTGAAATTTTTGTTCTTTCCTGCAGCCAAAACTTTGTAATCAAATAATGAAATGTTACTTGTTTTATCTGTAATTACTGAAATTAGTCATCATGTTCATACATACTTGTGGATATGACAGTTTTTCTTTTGCAATTTTATCCTTCAACTGCTGAATATATGATTCTGAAACTGAGGAATTTGATGGTGTCTTTGTCTTGATTTTCTTAGAAGGCTATTAGACAACATACAATAAAAATGCAAATAAGATTATATAATACAACTACAATTAGCATGATTATTCATTATACTCTTTTCCTGCTTTCTTATTGGCTAAAAGCCCACACATTTATCGATATCTGTACATAGGTGTCTCTGTGCCTGTGGCATTTTTCAGCAGAGAGTGTTTCTGCTGGAAAATAGTGGGGGCACACACATATATTGATAAATAGTTGATGGAGCCTGAAAGATTACAGCATTATTTCATACAAATTACAAATATATAAAATTTCCAAATTTTTAGCATTTGGCTAAACAGTATCGATATCGATGATTATTCAGACGGATCAGACCTAATGGTTAATGTTATCAGCCTGAGCCACAGAATAAAGATCAGTATCAGAAGGGCCACTCAGCGGTGCAACGTGTCACCATTTTTCTATGCAAAAATATGCAATTGACTGGCCAGGAAGATGGCGGCCAGCCAATACAGCGCGTTTATTGGCCAGAAAATGTAATCGACTGGCTAGGAAGATGGCGGCCAGGGTTATAATTATATTGCAATGAATAATCATCGATATCCTATTCAGCCTCATTCAATAATTGCTGAACACTCTCAAGTTTAAACTTAAAGTTTGGAAAAGTCATTGAAACATACCTGGGCAATCACTTGTTGTTCTTCATCCTCAACATCACTATGATAACGTTCATTCTTTTTGCTTGTCCTCTTTCCTCTACCTCTTGACGGTGTTGTGGTACTTCCAGTTTCCATAAATGTTATCATCAATCCACGAATTGATTCATATTTGTCTATAAATAGTTTTAGATTGCATTAAAAGAACTAAATTTTAGTCCTGGGCTTACATAATGTAGGAGGGAGGACTTATAGTGTTTCAAATTTTCGATTTTGAATATAAACATATATTTTTTAAAATCGATACTAGGCGTAAAAAAATACCTGTGGTTCCAGTTTTATATCGTGAAAAAATTAGGGTCGGTAGGTCGGAAATAATTTTTTTGGGATATTTTTTTCATGGTTTTGGCGGTCCCAACATCAATATTAACTAAGATGCGTATTTCCTATGGACGAATTTAGGCAATTTGGTTCAATAATTAGTGTGACAACAGATGCTATTTTGGCACGCTGTATGAGCAGCCTGCAACCACCTGGAGAAAATAGGGTCGCACAGTCAATCGTGTTGAAAAAATAATAGGGTCGGCAGAAAAAAATAGGGTCGGTCTGGAACCGGAACCACGGGTATTTTCTTTATGCCCTATCAATTGTACTAAATGACAAGAGCCTGCTATGTCAGCTATCTTGCCAAGCAAACTAGCCTGGCTTCCATTTGAATTTCTTAAATATAAACACTCTCAACAACTGCAGTACAGATATAGATCTTTTAATTGTTGAAGATGATGCAAGCCAATAAATAAACTTTTCAACATTTCGAGTGAAGACACTTTTTCGTGGAATATTAGCAGAAAAATACAAATAAACAAGCTGATTTTATAGTGAAGCTACAAAGGCAGTCATCTGAAAATAAATAAACCTAGCCTGCGCAGCGGCTCTCAGGGAAAGTAGAAGCCGCTACGCAGGCTAAAATAAACCAATCAAATAGAGTTAACCAAGGGCCAAGGCAAAATTAAGACTTAACCCGCACACAGGTGTAAAGCCAATTTTAAGGTTGAATGCCTGTACACGAGCAATGACAACAACACACTATACATTATTGTCTAGTGTCTACTAAATTCTCCATGATAAAGCACCTTGCTCAAAATTTCTAGAAGTCTTCTTTACCTTTTATTAGTTTTATAGACTTGCATGATTTTTAACAACCGAAAGCTTCCATGTAAGCAACCCTTTAGTTTAGCTTTTTTATTTATGATGCATACAAATTCCCTTTAGAGTTTTTATTGGGTTAGCACTATTTTCCATCCAGCAAACCATCCTAGCAATTTTCTAAATTTGTTTCTTTTTGGATTTTTGTTATTAATTGGGTTAAGATTTAACAGTTAGGGGTTAGAGTAGGGTTTGGGTTAGTTACATATGAGTACATAGCCATATAGCACCTCTTCCGAAAATGACGTCAGGTCAGTTTGGTGGATGGAAAATTGTGCCAACCGCCAAGCACATGGTGTGGCATGCTGATGTCAAATACGTTTCACTACAGTATTAATTTCATCACTTTCTTACTGCCTGTTCTAGTACTGTAAAGACATTTGTTTCCAGAAATATACACAGAATTTTCTAAAGAAACATCCTATTAACCTTGATCTAATTTGAAGTCATTAACCAAATATTAATTTGTATGAAAATTGCTTAACTTTTAAACATTATAAATTAATAAGTGATCACAAGACATCGTGTAATGTATTTCTCGTGTAGCCGAGTAAGGATTGAATGCCCAAAATAACCTTTAATCTACAAATATGTGTAATAACGACTATTTCTAAAAAGAACTCCTCGCCCTCTCAACTCTCTCTCGAGACTCCCTTGCGCATGCGTCTATATCCAGTACTTCATATAATCAATATATAACACATCGTCTGACAGTCACATTTAAAATACAAACAAACGTAATATCAATTATATAACTTACCACTGAATTTCAAAACTCTGGCAGCGTAAGTTTTAGTTTCGCATTCTGAATCAAGTGGATATTTTCCGCTTCTGTTGGACCATTTCGAGTAGCCTTTCGCGGCCTTCGGCCAGCGCACCAATATTTCCTTGTCTGTATTCCAATCTTTGGTGTTGAAGCAAGACTCGTCTTGATCAATTATCCAGCTACTTTCACCAACAGCACAGCTGTTGTCTTCACAGAACACGAATAGTGCAAACTTCATTGTATTTTGGTTAAATTTGCAACAAATATAATAGTAATTTCGAGCAAAAGAGGTCAAGCAAACGTAGCCGATGAACCGATGTCTCAAAAAGGACGCTGAAGTATCGTATGACGATACAAGTCAACCCAGTGAACTGAGTCAACCTCGTCCCCAGGGCCGATTTTGTGCTCGCAGGGTTGAAATTCAATCAATGGATAATGACTCGCAGCCTCTGATTGGCCGTCTATAGAACGTTGCAATCGAAGCAACCAATCAAAATACCTGCTCCGACATTGTCACAATTTATATTAACCGAAGGCCGAAGCATTGAATATTTACTACAAACAAGTTGTGTGTTGTGAACTTGCGATAGGGAATTGAAACATTGTGATCCTATGTGCTTCTTAACTAAAAAAAATGCCTCTCAGGGGACCATATAAACAGTACGAGGTAGATACAAGAATCGCTGTTCCGAAATCTACCGTGTATGACAGACGTAAGCGTCACTTTGCGGAAATTGACAGTGATACTGATAGCGAAGCTGATCAACATGATGTCGACAGGGAACATGATGATGCAACACTTAATAGAACAGTTGCAAGTGGCCACGAAAGATCAGATGAAAGCGATGCAGAGGTGAGTTTAATTCATTTTTCAAAATAAGACATCGAAGACTAGTTCAGGATCTTCTTAACTAATGTGTAATCTACTATCATAAGATTTTCTGTGCAAATATGCATGTGCATGAGGTTTATTAATTCACCACAATAAAAGATGGCGGATGTCGATTTTACCACAATGTTTTAAACGTTTTTCTGTCCTTATTATTATGCATGCTCACACCACTCTAGCAAATAGGGTCATACTAATAGGCAATTCTAGGGGGCTTGCAGGGGACAATGGGAAGTAAGGTATCACAATGCTGTCTTTGCTGAAAAAATAAAAATGATGGCTGTGTAAACACGGAGTGATAGCTTATACTTGTAAATATTGAAATATTTCGGCTATTTCGGTAGTTTTTATTGAAATTTTTCAGCATAATCAGCAATATACCTTACTTCCCATCATCCCCTGCAGGCATAAACTAAAAGCTGGAATTACCTATTACCAACAACTACCGTCAACAACCGACAATTACCGACAACAAGCACACAATTACCGACAACAAGCTGACAATTACCGACAACAAGGCGAATGAGCTGACAATTACCAACAACAAGGCGAACAAGCTGAAAAATACCGACAACAAGCGAATACCCAAAATATATAAATTCGACAGATTTTGTCAAAACATTGTTAAGTTAAAACATTTCGCGATTAAAGATGATGGATTCGCGTAGGCAGACAGTAATTATATTTTCATTGTTTGACATCAATAAAATCATAAACAATAGGATTAACAAAACATCCTGCTCAAGGATAAATGTATTCATAATAGAATTCCAATCATGCAAACTATCTAAAAACTGCATAGTATGCTGATGAGTCATCGATACCAAATAAAAGTACAGATAGGAAACTAAATTTCAAGTAGAAAATCAGTATTAACTACCCTATTATCTATAATTATATAACTACCAACTTCTATAAAGTGTGTATGTGCATACCGTATAATGTGTCTAAAATGTTTAATAGTAACAAACAGAAACAAGCTATAAATTATTTACATCAATTCATGTATGTATTTGGGTTTCTTCAAAAACAGTCATGCATTCATACAAATAACTATAAGAATACAATGAAAGTATGTATTTGCTTGTTGTCGGTATTTTTCAGCTTGTTGTCGGCAATTGTCAGCTTGTTGTCGGCAATTGTCAGCTTGTTATCGGTAATTGTCTACTTGTTGTCAGTAATTGTCGGTTGTTGTCGGTAATTAGTATGACCGGGCAAATATAGTTGATATTTTGACTGAATCTTGATTAATATTGCTGGGCTCATGTAAGTGCAACAACTGGGCCAGTCCATAGCCTGGCTTTCCAGGCTGATATTGTGTTGTATGCATGTCTAAAAATATTTAGGAAAAATAATCTGATGCCACTGATAAAAGTAATGTATGTCTCTTGCAACTAAGGATGAATGGTCACAGATAAAACATTGTCTATTCTCATGACATTAAGTACTCCATGTTTTTACCAAGAAAGTTCTATGTTTGCATGTGATGATAATTTGATGGTTTCAATTCACTCAGCCAATCAGCTTGGAGTTGGTTGAACATGATTGGCTGATTAATTAATAAAACCTGTCAAGTGCTCTTGACAAACATTGAAGATTGTCACACAAATAGGCAATGTTTTTATCAGTCAAGTGACGATAATATTTTGTCAAGTAAACACAAATTTCATTTCCCTGCTGGAATGTATGTGTGGGAAATGTATGTGTGTATGCTGAAATTTTACAACTGACATGATTTGATCAAGAATCCCCACTAATGCCTTTTGTCCAATTTTGCTAGGACACGTACAATATCCCCAATTATGTATCTGACCCAGAAAGCCAGGATGATTTGGATGTGAATAATGGAGATGAGAGTGAAGAAGAAGCAGATTTTCTGAATGCTGCTGGAATCCATCAAAATCCAGGTATGCACTGTGTAAACCTTGATTCAAGACTTATATGTACGTAAATGCAGCAACAAAGAGCGCTTAACGTTGCAGTCGAGCGTGGAATTGAGTATGGTCATCATTCATTGTTTACAGTAGGTTCTCAGCATGTTCTGGTGAGCATGGCGGTCAGTGGTACCCATAATGATACAACATTAACCCTCCAGGTATTCAAAAACAGCGTTGACACTCCAGGGAAGTTCATATTGAACCTCCTCCACTCATCGAGTGTGATTGAGCTTTAGAATACAGGCAATAGTTTTGAAAACTAGCCAAAACTTCTGAAACCCAGTTACTTTGAATCTTCTACTGATAACATGTTCCAAGCCCATTCATGTTAGCTTGTGAATGTCAAGATGGCAAGCATAGTTGGCAGTTTTGACTGCTTCAGCCTGTAAGGATTTTATTTGGAGGCAAGGGCAACTTTAACCAATTAATATATCCAAGTCATTTTTTCCCTAATGTGAGTAATATTGTCTGGCATTAGTGGGAATACATTTTAAAGTACTGTTATTCAGTTGGGCTCATGGGAACGTGTTAAAGGGTTAAAAGTATGCAATGGCAGATAATATTAATTGTTAACCCAGTAACATCCAACACTCTTCCCTTGCATGATGAGTAAAATATCTGATTAGCCATTGTTCACAGGCAACAGTAGCAATATGTTGCAAAACATGGCGTAAACAGATGTGTTTTGAGAGCATGCCACTGTATGTACGGTACAGTATCCTGTACATCCTATGCTACAAGTATAAAGTTTCTAAATATAGATTTTTACATAATTTTTCTTCAATGCATACATTTACTTTTTAACAGAATGGCAATAGAGACAACCCTATATATGAAGGAGCACACATCACCATAGCTCAATGTCTTCTTCTTATCCTGTGCTTTGTGGTTCGACATTGTTTAACAAAAGAAGCCTTGAAAGATCTGCTGATCCTGTTAAATCTTCTCCTTCCTCACTCTGTGCCTGCTACACAGTATAAGTTCTTCAAAGCATTTGAAAATGTAAATTTTCAGGTAAAATAGTTTTTGTAAACATGATTTCCAAATAATTAGACTGCTTTTGCTTTAATGCAATTGGCTTGATTCGTCTCAATTGGTCTTGTCAGCAAGTTGCAAATGTATATGCCAAAAAAGTTTGGTAAAATTGAGAAACTACTGAAATTTGAATATTGGACCTTCCGAAATTTTTCTGTGCTGGAACTGTCATTTCTTCAGTTCCAGGATTGGTATCTTTTATATAGTACAAAACATAATCCGAAGGTTTTTCTACAAAGACAACATTCCGAATCTTTCGAAATCTAATGTAGTTTACGAAGTGACATGTCCTGGCTATTCCGCAACATATATTGGGAAAACAGAATTAAGACGTTTACAGACACGGCTTGTTGAACATACCAATCCGACCAAAAGTGCTATTGGACAACATTTTCACAACTGCGAACATGTGGAATACATTGTAAACCTACACTTTGCTTTTGACAAACTTAACAACCCAACTGACGCTGACAATAACGTTTCCACTTTTATTACCAACTTAATAATTGACAACTGTCGAATTATTCACACTATTCATTCCCGCACATCTAATTTTCTCTTGTTGCTTGAAGCTCTATATATCAAGTACCATTCACCCAGTTTAAACACTGGACTCAAGGCCAGCAAAGAACTTAAGCTTTTTTCTTAATCTATACACCCACATTTCATCACACTTACATCTCACTGCACCTGTCGTATTGGTTCTGATTGAGACTTTATGTCATCATGCCTTGCCAACTTGTATATAAGACCATGTATATGTTGTAACTGTAGTTAGTCTGATGATTTTGTAATAAAATCGAAATATTACTCACTCACTTTCTTGTTTGACTCATATTTTGGGTTTCAAGATGCTTATCTTCTGATTATGTTTTGTACTATATTTTTTGAAATTGTCGGCTGGTATAGGTATCTGCGTAATGTGTCGGTTGGTATTGGTATCTTTTAGATGAGGATTTTCTTTTAAATGTCATTAAATTTCTTTCTTTAGACACACTATTATTGCCCATCATGCCTTTTTTACCTGGGTAAAGACATAACCGAAGGCGAATGTGAATCATGCTGCCAACGTTTTCATGTTGACAAATGTGAAGAAGATGGGAATTACTTTTTGTATTTGCCATTGAAAGACCAGATCAAAGATTTGTTTTCCGATGAAAAGATACAGAAGTATTTGACAAACCATGATCTTAACAGAGTCGGAGCAACTGACAACATTTCAGATGTAACATCCTCCAAGTTGTATCACCAACTGGTTGAACAGCATAACCTCTCGGGCAAAGATTTAACTTTGACGTGGAACACTGATGGCATTCCAGTTTTTAAATCATCCCGCTATTCAATTTGGCCAATACAGAGCTCAGTAAATGAACTACCGCCACATCTACGAGGAAAGCACATCTTATTAAATGGTCTCTGGTTTGGTAACAGAAAGCCTGCGATGAACACGTTCTTGAAGCCATTTATAGAAGAGTGTACACATCTTGAGAACAATGGCCTAACCATTAAAGATGAATCCCAGCCAAGAAAGATATTTGCGATGGTTCTTTCTGCTGATTCTCCAGCAAGAGCAATTGTAAAGAACTGCAAGCAGTTCAATGGAAAACATGGTTGTGATTGGTGTGAATCTCCTGGTGAGATGATTGATGGTGGTGCTCCAACTCGCTACTACCCTTACAGAGGTCCTCCAACCATGCGCACTGCAGCAAAGCAAGCACAGTATGCCCTTAAATCCAATCGCAAAAATGAAGTTGTGAAGGGTGTTAAAGGGCCATCGGTAATTGGAATTCTTCCAACATTTGATCCCGTTAGAGGTGTTGCTGTCGATTACATGCACTGTGTCTGCCTAGGTGTCATCCGACAGTTGGTGAACTTGTGGATGGACAGCAAACAAAATGGCAAGCCTTCCTACATTGGTCAAATGGAACGAGAAATCAGCAACCGATTATGTGCAATCAATGTCCCTAGCGAAATCAGCCGTGCACCAAGGTCATTTACTGATCGACGTTACTGGAAAGCATCCGAGTGGCGAACTTTCATTTTTTGTTGTCTGATTGTTTTCCAGGGCATCCTACCTCCAGTATATCTCAAGCATCTATTTTTGTTTGTATATGGAGTGTATTGCCTTGGTGATTCAATCGATGACAGCACCATAGATTCTGCCAAAGTTTGTTTGACAAAATTTGTCATTCAAGTTGAAGAATTGTATGGATTGAAACACTGTTCATTCAATGTGCATCAGTTGGTTCATCTTGCTCAGTCAGTGAGAGATTGTGGTCCACTATGGGCATCTTCCGCCTTCACCTTCGAGTCCAACAACCACTTCCTAAACAAGATGTTTCATGGAACACAATACGTTCCTAAACAGATTGTAGAATCCTTCATCAGAAACAGGAAGATTGCACAGTTGTCGAAAGCATGCATTAATGAGGAAACTAGTCCATTGGTTGCCAGTTTGTATACGAAGTTAAGGGGTGGCAAATCAGCTGGAAACGAGGAAGTTCTTGCAGATGGAGTTCGTGGTCTTGGTAAGGAAAGGACGGCAGAACTTACTGCTTCCCAAGTTCTTGCAATTGAACAACTGTTAGATATTAGGCTTAGTAACCAGTGTGGATTTATGTATGCTAGGTTTGTTGTGTATAATAGCTTGTACTCAAGTGTGAATTATGTTCATGCAAAAAAGCACGTCAATCACAGTGTGTCATTTCAGCATGACCGATTTATGTATGGCATAATTATAGGTCTTTTATCCATTAAGCCAGAGTGCTTGTGCAATGTAGCTTTGTTGCAATACTGTAACTGTAAATCGTACCAAGTGGTACTAGTCCAGCCGATGACAGTAAAGGCTAGGCCATTATTTCGAGATAATGACTTTAATACGAACAGCTTTTTCTTGGTAGAGGTGGAACAAACTGGAATGCAGATAGCAATTCACCCAAGTCAGATTAGAAAAAAGTGTATTTCGCTAACTCTAGAAGGTAAAGAGTATTTTTGCCCACTTCCTGTCAAAATAACTGATAATTAAACAACTAAGTAATAATAAGTATGTACATAGCTCTATATTAAATAAACTTATTATATATTAAATCGATTACAAAATTCGATAGAAAGATGGAGTGTTCCCAATTTGTGTGCTAAATTGTCTAAATGGAGTGTGCCCGATTAATGTGCCCATGCAATTAAAATCTTTGGTATAATTACATTGGTAAGTAATGAAAATTCTCCACACTGATTGCTTAGCCATCAGGTTATTATAACGTGATAATCACATTAAAAATTTTTTAAAAAGGCGGCAAACCATTTTGTAAACAAGAAAGCGACGAAGTAATGTGCATTTTATTACTTTTTTCCACATCATCACCTATGAATTTATGCTAAAACAATTATTCATTTCAGGCTCAGACTACTACTTAACCTGCAATCAGATCTATAAATAAATAAATCGGCCTAATACAAACCTTAACAAAAGTCCGTGCCGTACAACCGCATTTCGGTTGTAAATCTGATTGGTCTCAATCTTGTAGGTTAGGTGCTGGGCATAAGAACGGGCATACCCTGGGTATGAGATTGTATTGGTCTATGAGACAAGATTTTTAAATCTGTCATTTGATTGGTTGGTGCTAATTAGATTATACTATTGTTGTTGATATATTTTATAGTGACCACAACTATAATTAGATTGTTGTTGTCGTTGTGCGAAGTTTAAATTTCTTCTGCGACATTTTGAGTAGTAATATAGAGGCCGTTCGACCCAGATTTTTGTGGTGGAGTGTGGTGGAGGGAGGATGCGTAATGACGTCACTCATTAACAGACGTCATAATTATATGCAATGACGTCACGCGGGCGAGCTTAAATGGAAAGTTTAAACAATTCCTATAGATAGGGATTTTAAATCCAATAGGAATTCTTATAGGAACTTCAAATCCCTATAGCTATAGGAATTCCAATCGAAATTTAAGTATAGAAGTTAACAGTAAAAACTTCCTGTAGGAGTTTTTAGTTTTAATTCTTATAGAAAATTGATATTTATAAAGGAATTCCCATAGAAAGTTGAAATTCCTATAATTTGTTTAAAATATTCTATACGAATTTTGTTCGTATATATACTATATAGGATTTTCATAGGAATTCCAATAGAGAGGTTAACGGTTCCTATAGATAGGAATTTTAGCTATAGCAATTGCTATAGGAACTTGAAATTCCTATATAGGTATTCCAATAGAAAGTTTAAACTATTCCTATAGGAATTTTAATTCCTATAGGAATTTTTAATTCCTACAGGAATTCCTATAGGAACCTAAAATTCCTATAGGAATTCCAGTAGAAAGTTTAAACTATTCCTATAGGAATTTTAGTTCCTATAGGAATTCCTATAGGAATTTGAAATTCCTATAGGAATTCCTATAGGAATTCCTATAGGAAATTTTCGTAAGGGTACTTGGGTGGAGAAAGAAGACCCTTACCAGCATGCTCATATAATGCAATCAGGGCTCAATTTAATGATGAACAGGAAAAATTTAGAGGCTTTGAATACAACAAGACCATGTAATATCTTTCATAGATAAAAAAAAATTATGGTTGTTCAATTGCTGGGTAATTAAAATATTATAACTGCAAATTAGTTATTCCAACTTGGGGACCAGTCATTAATAATGGGGAGAGCAGTGGTTGAAAAAGGGGAGTTTAAATATTTTTAGCCTTAGGGGCATCCTCAAAACTAAAATATGTCAAGAATTACTACGAGACAGAATAAAATAACAACAGGACAACAGAATATTATAATTGCAAATTAGTTGGAGTTCAGTTCTAAATTTCATTTGCTTTCTGTCCTCTCTTTTTTCAATACCTCAGCCCTAGGTTGTTTCTCTAACATTGAGTTCATTGGTGGCGGTGACATTTTTTCAGGTCCAATATCATATTATATAGATCCAATAGAATATTCTATTACACATTCATATGAAATATCCAATAACATATTCTATAGAATAATTTATAATGAACTTTAATATGATATTCTGTAGAATGTTTTATAGAATGCAAACTTCATGTAATAAACCAGTTTATTTTATTATAATACATTACTATATTTTTATTATAGTTAATTTATAATATAACATTGATAGTATGCAAGCGTTGATTGGCTCAGAACTGTGTGTATAGATCGAAAGACAGAATATTTTCCGCCAAAAGTTATTAATTAAAATAAACAATTTTAATTAGCACTTTTACACATTTTTGCCTGTTAATATTTAAATAGTTGTTGCAAGGCCGGCGAGAGGGGGGGGGGGGCAAAATACCCAGGACCCGGAGTACTCAGAGGGGCCCAGAAATCTCAGTAAAATGTTCGTATTGTTTATCATCGCTTTATGTTTGTCCGAAATGAAATACGCCTACTTCGTAAAACGTACCAGATAGCTGAACATCGTTCACATTGTGTTTTTATCAGTTATGTGGTGATTTCTTGCAAGTAATTCACTGGTAATTCTCTCGTTGATTGCAATTAAAAATAGCCAGCAGGAGAGTCGAGAGGGACAAGGGGGCCCGGGTTCACCAATCGTCATTTTGTCCTGGGGCCCGTGGTTAGCTCTCGCCGACCTTGAGTTGTTGTCTTGAAGTGGAATTGACGACCAAAGGTCAGCATGCATGTACATATAATGAGAATTACTTTGTAAATTAGTCGAGAGTTTTATAAATGTGTCCTTCGAGTTATATTAAATTAAACATTTTTTCCTGTGTTACTATAGATCTGTTCGGAAAATGGCTGTCAGTCTGTTTTCTTCTGTTGTCTCTTCAAACTAACTTCAACCAATGAAATCTATTTGCCACTATAAAGGATACTTGAAGACTAGTTGTTTTACAAAATATAAATATACTGCCTTGAATACTCTTCGAGAAATTAGATGAGTAAATCTAGCAAAATAACTGGGCTAGCTTCATTTTGATGCTTTTTCATATTTCAAAGGGCTATTCGATTGTTTGCATGCTTTATTTTCATTCTGAAAGTATCACATTTTTCTTTAATAGCTCATTGTCTGTTGTTTAAAGATGTTTATTTCATCCTGAGATATAACATTAAAAAAAGAAATTAATTGCCAATTGGCACCCATTTTCCGAATAGGTCCATTTTTAGAGAGGTCCATTTTTGTGCCATTGTGGGAGTTTGGGGAAACTCAGAATATTTCAAATGATTATTTCTCATTCTTCTATAACTGTATAGGGTGTATAAAAGAAACGCAACCTCGGAATTTAAATCCACTTTGCAATTCTTAAAACAATGTCCTTAAAACAATATCGATTTCTTGGGAGAATTCCGAGGTTGCGTTTTTTTTTATACACCCTGTATAGAATGACGGAAAATGTTTCTATTTCTTAATGATTTAATTAAGCATCAATATGGCCTAATTTCAACACAGAGCATATATACCGAAAAACAGTTGTAATACCACTGATAAAATGTAACATTTTATTAAAAGTAATGTGACTTTCTCGCAATATTATACAGTAATATTTGTGTAACTCTACCAGCTCGGGAGGCTTACAGGTACTACACCTTGCCTAAGGGTGACCTGGAGGTAGTTGTGGCTAAGAGTAACCTCATTCACCCACGTCCACAACTCCACAACCGGTTACAGTTTTAAGTCAATGCACAGGACCAAAACTATATACAGTATATACATGTATCGCTACTTATCTTATTTACAGGAGATGTTTTATTTAGTCATCGTAAATACGATACGGTGTCGAAAACATATGGACTTGGACCGATACACCTCCTAAATACTCACGTTCACCGTATATTTTGATAATATATTTAATCTAAAACTTTACACAAATGCTCACTCGCTCACGGCTTGGAACCCTATCTCTCGAACATGTGGTTTTAGCCTGCGAACAGGTGTTCTTAGGTCCCTAATACCAAATATAACATGATGTTTTCTACACACTCCTCCATATGAAACAGATGATTCATATGTATGCTAACTAAACTGAATGTTTGTAAAATTGTTAATAAACGCGTTTAAGACCATGTTCACTAATCTTTCAGTTCATTTTCTAAAGTTTCTTGGATCCGTGTTGCTGCATCGATGGCCGCCTTTCACTTCGGAACGAACGATCTTGCATTGGCATCCAAAGGAGTTTGGTTTGTCTCCTCCCCGTCCTCTTTATTGGTGGAGTCGCAACTGAGTTTGAGCGGCTATAAATGTTGTGGAGCTCTTATGTTGATGTTATGAGCTGTTGTGGAGCGCTTATGTAGCTCCGTCCACACTACCCCCTCTACTCCCCAAATCAGCAGGGTTTTCAGCTGTAGGCACATGACGCCACAACACGTTATCTTGGCTTCGCATTTTTCTCACTCTATTAGCGACGAACTGACGATACTGCCCGTCATAATTTAACCAATGGAGTGCTACGGTGCTATCTAGCCAACATTGGATGTTTTTTTGCAACTTTAAATCCTTCGAGAGTATTTCTTACGTTAACTGCTAAATTTATGACCATATGTCCCGCAACAAGCTCGAGCCTGTTGTGTTCTAGTAGCGGAAGTGCGTATAGACGGAAGTGAACTGGTAGCGGGATTCGGGGAAGAGGACTTACGGGGAAGGACAGACACAGAGACACGAGGCATAGACGAAGCGATGTATATATTTCATAATAGTTTCCTGTAAGTATTAACGTTCACATTACATATCCATATTGTTTCTTACAATATAACATTGGCGACGAGGATAACCTCAACATTTGATTACTATGGCAGGATTAGATTTCTCAGGAATTCAACAGTTTGATCCTCATTCAGAGCCAAGTTCGCTGGCTTCGCAGTGGAAAGAATGGCTGCAACGATTCAAACGATGTATAGTCGCTTTTGACATCAAAGACAAAGCAAGGAAACGAGCTCTATTGTTATACCTGGCCGGTCCAAAGGTGGAAACAATATTTGCCACGCTCTCTGATACGGGAGAAGAGAACGACTTCGATAAAGCCATAGAGAAATTGACAGAGTATTTCGCGCCGAAGAAAAACATTCTATACGAGCGACATATTTTTCGCCAAGCCAGCCAGCGATCTGACGAAACAATTGACCAATTCTGTACACGACTGAGACATCGTGCCTCGACATGCGAATTCGATAATGTAGAGGACGAGATTAAAACACAAATCGTGGAAAACTGCAGGTCTAGTCGACTCAGAAGGAAAGCATTTCGGGATGACCCCAAGCTGGATGATTTGATTAAATATGCGAGAGCACTAGAAATTTCTGATCACCATGCTGAAGAAATGGAAAAGCAACACCGTCAGGAGGCTGTGTATCAAAACACCAGACGAGATTTTCCGCCAAGGGATATAAAAGGTAAACAAGCACAAACTTGTTATAATTGTGGAGGGACGTACCCCCACCAAGGCAGGCCCTGCCCCGCTGCAGGCAAGACCTGTCATAATTGCTCAAAAACTGGACATTTCGCTCGAGTTTGTAAGTCTGAACAAAAACCAATCTCTCGAATGCCTCAGGACCAATATAAATCGAAGGCAAACAAGTTGAATGCTTTGAACCAAAATCGGCAACAACAACCACTCTCTACTGAGCCAACAGTACAAGGTGAACCGGAAGTAAGCGACAGTGATAGCAATGAGGATATATTTGCTGTTTAGAGAGCCAAGAAAGTGAAGCAACCACCCATGACAAAACTCAAAATTAATGGGGTGAAAGTAGAGTTTTTGATTGACACCAGAGCTTCAGTGAACATTTTGACACGAAAGGACTATGAGTTTCTCTGTACAAATTCAAAGGACCAAATCTCTTTACGAAAAATTAAAACTAGAATCTATGCGTTTGGCTCTTCAGAACCAGTTGAGTTGAAAGGAAAGTTTGAAGTTCTAGTTGACTCAAAGCGTCGTGTTGCTGCCGCTACATTTTATGTCACAAAGGGAACTCAAGGCACTACTTCAATTCTCGGTTGTGAGACGTCTACTAATTTGCGTTTGATTACCATGAATGTTAATTCTGTGTCGAAAGTATCGGCTGTCAAGTCGGACTCTGGAACTGATACGAGTAGCTGTGATTTGGATGCGAGTAAAAGAAAAGAAAACCTATTGAAAGGTAGGCACCCTAATGTATTTACAGGAATTGGTAAACTAAAGGGGCATGAGCAAAAGATTCACATAAATACCAATGTACCCCCTGTTACCCAAACGAACAGGCGTGTTCCATTTCATTTACGCAAACAGTTAGACACCTGGCTTGACGATTACTTACAAAAAGATATAATTGAGCCTGTATCTGATGAGAGCACTGACTGGGTGAGTGGACTAGTTCTTGCACCAAAACCCAGAAACCCCAATAAAGTAAGAGTATGCGGCGACTACCGC